ACAGCCAAGGAAGAAGTGCTCAGACAACCACTCTTCTGCAACCAGTGGATTTTGGACACACAAGGGAAACCTTGGACCCTAACAACCAAAGACTCAAGATGGGGCTCGTGGGTAGAAAAAGGGGTATGGTAGATCAAGCACCTATGGCACAACGAGGAATCGAGATGGAGGACAACAGGAGAGCTAAGGGAACAGCTAAAAGGTTGCCATAACTTGCAAGAGAATGCCAACCACATTTTAAATTCAATCCCTGAAAGCTGGTTTAGACTTCTCAGAAGTCGACACTTGTGGAAAGCAGGAGACTGGGCTACGCAGAAGGCCGAACGCCCACCGAAGACAGCCTACCAGTTCCGAACCAGGGAAGGCACAAGAAATGAGTGGCTCATCTGCGACATTTGCACAATGGAGGACCCAGGTGCATCAACAAGCCTACTAAGCAAAAACTCCACAGGGGAAGTGGCCTGGCATGAACGAACATTAAGGAAGGTGAGAGTAATAGAAATACAGGACCGCCGAATTTACAAGTCGCAAACAAATATCGAGGACTTGGAGATTGGCCTGGTGGGATGGGCGTGGAAAACGAGATCAGGGAGGCTCAACGTAGAAAAACGCACCAACATCCTAGAATACACAACCAAACTAGGATACACATTAAGGACAAGGTCACTTCCCATAACCCAAATCGTAGGCCAAAGATGGGAGACACATTCTGACCTCACCCAAAATTGTATCCTGAACATCCCCTGGACTGGATTCCTAAACATCAACCAAGTCAAAATAAGAAGCTTCCAGTGGCTACTCGCCCACCTGGCTCTCCCAGTTAACCAATGGTTGAACAAGAGGAGAAACATTCAAGCCAGGACCCCATTACAAGAACTATGCGCAATCTGCCCGGAAGACCGCATGGAAGACGTGGGCCATTGCCTACTACACTGCCCAAAAGCACAGCAACTCTGGGCCAACACAACTGCACTCTGGCATACAATCACAAACAAAACCCTCCCTACTAACCTTCTTACTCTTCTTTTGGGCCTGCACATCCCATCCAATTGGCAGGGAAACGAGACCATTTTCTTTCACACTCTACGCCTGGCAATGTTATGGATGATATGGAAAGAAGATGTCAAGAGACGATAGACCGTACGTCAATTTCGATGCAGGAAGCATGGGAAGGAGTCCTAAATACATTAGAGATTGAATACAGAGGGCGTTGAAAGAGAGTGTGTAGGAAAATAGAGAAGAATATAGCTGATAGAGACAAAATTATTGAGGTTTTTAATAAAAAGCAGCTAGGGTAAGGGAGAATAGCAACAATCTCCCAGAACAGATTACACTTTGGACAATGGAGACACAATAGACTAACCACACCGCAATCCTCATACCCGCCTCAAAGTAGATCCCATGTCACAGGAATGTCTATCGGCTCCCTTTAAACAATCCAAACACCAGTAGATAGCCCTAAAACAGTGTCAGCTTATCAACCCAGAACAGGAGCACCCAACTACCTAATCTCACCTTAACGGACTAGGCCTTAGCCCCTCAAAACCCCCAAACCACAGGATCCCCAACGAACTAACCTTAGCACCCAGTGCAGATCAATCTCGAAATAGACCATACCGCATAGGAAACCAAGCAACTCAGAAGGAAGATCACTAAAGTACTACCATAACCCCCTCAGGAATCCAAAATCCCTACGTCAACAGGTCCAGACACGGCCTACAAGAATAAGTAGACAAGCTAGGGCCTAGGGTTATAGCAAGGAGCACAGCAAGTGTAAGCCTGACAGAGCATAGTGTAAGCAGAATTTCACACAAGCAACGTTATCAGCAGTACTAGCACGAAAGGAAAAACAGACAGCCGAGGAGCTGAGAGGTACAGACTGGATGGATAAAGAATTAAGTCCCAAACATTAGAGCGAACGGATTTCCAGATTAGCAAAAGATAAGAGAAAGTAGCACAGGCTAACTTAGGAAGGGCCGAGGGGAGGTACATCCTTACTGATGTAAGCACCCTTCGGGCCTCCACACCAGAAGGGGTAAGAGCGTGAGCGTGTTCCCAAAAAGGGGGTAACTCAGAGGAAAGCAGCAGTAAAAACGGTCAGCAGAGAGAAAGGAAGGGTTCACACCCCAAACTAGAGAGAGGTGGGGGGTTCAAGGTTTAGGGTTTTAAAGCCTAAGAACAATACATCCTTTACTTTATTAGGAACTAGCAACAGGTAAACCACAGCAGCATTACAGCTGAGTGCTTAGGGTTTAAGGTTTAGACAGAGACAGGGCAAACCGGACTTAGTGCATCAGAGATTCCAGAAGACTCGTAGGTGTGTCCCAGATCGCTCTAGCATAACACACCAACTAGACAGCACCACAGCTGAGAGGAGCGGGACTGGGGTCAGATAGATGGGCAACAACTAGGCAGTTCAATTAGCACAAGCTAACTTAGGTAGGGGCGAGGGGTGGTACATCCTTCCTCGAGGAAGCAATCAATGTCGTCCACTCAGGCCTCCCAGCCATAATGGGGAGGAGCGTGCGTGAGTCTCTCATGTATTCCATTTGACTTGCCGGGGGAATAGGAACCGGACTGTCGCTCCCCAGAATGGTAGGAGCCAGAACCGAAAGGTTCTGTTTTTTTTAAAAAAAAAAAAAAAAAAAAAAGGAATACATTCAAACAATGAAGGCTCGAAGGGCAAGTATGTTTGAGTTACACATGGCCTATGTGAGAGAGGAAGTGAAGACAAGAGGGGACAAAATCCCACTATCTGAAAACTCCTTTGAACTCCTGAACAGGGAGAAGAGATGACAAAATATTACGCCCAACAATATAGCAGAATCAAGAAGGACCAGGCAAGAAGATAACGGACAAAAGAGGGAGGAGAAGTCCAGGGAGAGGAGGGGGGATGGCGAGAGAACAGGTACAAGATGCCAGAGCTTCCATAGACCTACAACAAAAGAAAGAAAGAGGAGAAGAAGAAGGTGGGCTCAAGAGGAGACAAGGGGAAAGGAAACAAGGAACAAAGGGAGAATAATACGGGACGGGGAGGAAGACAAAAAAGGGAACAACCAAATAACTCAGCATGAGTTGGGGCACCAAAACAATGAAAGAGAACGCTACCGGTACAGACTGAAGTCCTAGAGGCACAGATACAAAGATTGTCAGATTTGAATGAAGATATGAGGTTGAAAACAGTCACGGTGGGCTCACTGAATGACTGCACGCAAACCGAATTCTGGAACAGGATGGTAGCCCCGGCCAAGACCCTCTTACCCTCGAGAACAATCTTGGCAGTAAGATTTGATATGCATGGAGGGGAATGGCAGATTGCCACAGCAGCTAATTTTGCTCTCCCCAGGCTGGAAAAGGGACAAAGCATAAATGACAGACTTACTTTCGATGTCTCAGAGGAAGAACCAGTCAAAATGGGTCTGTTGGGAGAAGCGTTGAGGGTGCCAGCTGCATGTGGAAAAGAGACCTGGAGCAAAGAAGAAACCTTGGACGTAAGACCAATGGTGGCCATCTACAGCCCAGGTTCTTCTTTGAGAAGCAGCCTGCAGTGGAGACCTTGGTGGCAGATCTCACAACTGCCATACCCAGCCCTCGACACAAACGCATTGCCAAAACTTCCAGCAACAAGTCTGGCAATTTCCTTCGCCCTGGGATTCACAGGAAGAGGCAAAGTGAGTTGGGGAACCTGCTGCAGATCCTGCAGGAGGAGGGACAGGAGACAACCCTGTGAACGGTTGGGTCAACTCGTTCCCCTTGAAAACGCTCACACCGCTAAAGCCCTGGACTTAAAACACTGAACCCTGGATGTAAGAGGTGATCAAAATGATGGGGGGGAGAAGGAATATAAAAAGACAAAGAGAAGGGCGACATAAGATCGTAGAACGTGCATGGCCTGGCCACCATCTTGACACCTCCTGCAAAATGGTTCAGCCTGACAGAACCTTATGGTTAAAAAAAAAAAGTTCTTTTTTTTCTGTTGATTCCGTCATCGTCAGTTTGGGAAAGAAGGGTGCAGTGTTTGTTGATATCGTGGTTTCGTCAGTTTTGTTTGAAAACGAGGGTGCAGCGTTTGTCAACAGAAAAAAAAGAACTTGAAATTGGCCAAAGGGAAAAACTAATGGACAAAAAGAAAAAGTTGAAATCGCCCAGAGTGTGAAATTAATGGACAGCAAACAAAAAGTTGAAATCGCCCAAAGTGCAAAATTGACAACGAGAAAAACAAAGTGACGTTTCCCAATGACAGATTTCCCAAAGTGACGGCGATCCACGGATGTAGTGTGCCACCTGCCCTCAATGCTGTGCCCTTGTTGAGTGCTGCTCAATGAGCAGTTTGGCGAAAAATCTCTCTGCACGCGCACATGGCCATGAATCATGGCGATCTATGGTGGGGCAGCAGAAATGTGAAGGAGGTGGTAGAGAAAGACATTTGCCCCAAGGTCTGGACTACTTTATGACTGCTGGGATGACCCTTCCGTTCAGGGCTAGAATGGTATGCAGTCACGATGTCCCGTCATTCACAAGCACATAGTGACATGAAAGGTGGTGCCTGAAAAATACCTTGCACGATCGTGACACAACAAGAACCATGCATCCATTACTAAGCATTCCAAGAAGGAAACCTTTGCCAACTGAATCACAAATGGGAGAGCCGAATGAGGCAGGGAAATTAGGCAAACGATGAATGACCTGCAGATACCAAACTTAGAAGTTGAGATATGCTGTGGGGAGCCCAGTCTGCCAGTACTCTGCTGCCAAGCAGCGTTCTCATGCAGTTCTATGATGGCTGAGACAGTGGCAGAAGGCTTATTGTAATCTCCCGAACAGGAGTGGGCAAGTGGGCAGGTCTGGTTTATGAGGAGGACCACACAAATATGGTTCCTGCATAACTGTGGCCAGATGTTGCATGATAGTCCTGCCATTCAAAGACATTCACATACACACTTAGAGAGTTGATGAAGCAGACAGAAAGAATAATGCATCTTGCTTGGTTGCTCCCTCACCTGCACTCTTTTCCCTGACTTTGAAGCCCGAGAGTAGATATGACGACCAACCTGAAACACCAACAGCCACAACAGTAATCAGTTTTTGCATTTAGACAACTACTGTGCGTACAAAATTACATCAACGTCTAAGCTACCAGAGTGGCCCATGACCACTTGAACATCCGGGCCCCAAAAAACAAAAAAAAAGAATGTAAATTTCATTTGTATTTGTATTTACAAGAGAATTATTGCTACTTTTGTGATTCTATTTATTCTTGTATTTATAATATATTATTCATTTCATCGATCAATTTTAAAATACATACTTACAAGTGCAAGGAAAATGAGCAATAACGAGATGACAATATTCAGATTGCACAATCACATTGAAAGCCAGATCGTATCACAGTGAACAGAAAGCAGCATTGCACCAATATGACACCAATGGAGAATCGTAGCACTGAAAACCA